ATGTTTTTAAGTGCAGTACTAGCCATGATTCATCACATTCAGGAGTTGAGAGCACGATTGCCAAGGCTTCCAAGTTAATTAAAGAACTTTCTTCAAATCCGATTGCCCAAACACAGATGTATACAAGAAGGAAAGGGAAGAGTTCAGCAAGGAGAGAGAGCTCGAGGCAGTTTCATAGAAATTTGGTATGTATCGATTACTACCAGCAACCAAGTCACACTCTTCGTCAGCATAATAAAGTTTTCGAAGGTTTCATTACCTTATCCAGCTCTATGACCGAGTCTATTGTCCGGAAGGAAATAATCGAGAAATTAAAGGACAAGGATTACATGTTTTATAATTTTGACACCCTTACTAGTAATGATTTTGAGTTTGTGAAATGTGTTAACAGGCATATTTTTGTCCCTGATGGTGCTACAGCTTATGATGGCAATGGGATAATGTCACTCTACCGAAGTGGGAGTTCTATATACATTAGACTTACTCGTCCCTTTTCAAAAGCAAGTTATTCATCATAAATTTGTCTGTCATTATTATCAATTTTTCTCTTCATAGCATGAACAGAGCAGTTCGAGTAATTCATCTGTTACTGAAGCCTCTCAGTCATCACCACTACTTTTAGTGTCTGTGACAGCTCCTACTATATTGTCACCTACCTCAACTATGCTAGCTCAACCGTCGAGTTTATGTGTGTCGCCATCAGTTCATGCACCTACTAATGTTTCAGCCTCTAATGTCAATGATGTTGTTGTGTCTCCATCCGTTAATCTTCCTGTTGATGTATCTGCATCTCCATCTGCTACTCTTTCAGTAATGCCATCTGTTTATGCTCCCACAGCTGTGTCAGTATCTTCACTTAGTAGTGCACCTGTGTCATACCCACCTCAGTCTGTTCAAGTGTCACCTTCTATCAGTGCACCAACAAATGTGTCTGTACTTACTACTCCTTCAACTCTTCATCCTCAATTTAATGATCCACAACAGTATGTTAAGGCTACCATACACCATGAAACTTGTTTTATGATGTATGGTAGCCTTTAGCTAATTAATGAATTATTACATTTATAATACAAAATAATTTTTTAAGACCATATGAGCTACTCTAGATTGTTATCAATAGGGAATATATTGAAATACTAAGTGACAACAGTGATGAGTTGACTATTGAAGATAGTAATGTTCAACTAGCTATTGAAGAAAGCGTTTCATACAGGTAATTGTTATAAATATTAAATTTGATTAGTTTTTTGATTTTTGTGCAGGTTACAAAATGATCTTACTCATTTTGATAGTGTCGAAGAATTACTTAAACATCACGCTTTAATGAAGTGTTTTGTGGCAGTAATCCCTGAAGACCGGCAGAATATAGTTGTAAGGCGCAAACACATTTGGAATGATGTGAAAAGGTCTCTCAAGCGTCCAGGTTTTAATGATAATATTGGCCTTCTCATTAATTTCATTGGTGAGGATGCACATGATGCTGGTGGACCAAGACGAGAATTTTTTCGCCTAGTCATGTCTAGTATGAGTCGTGATGGAAACCTTTTCACTGGTCCTCCTTCTAATAAGACTCTGACACACAATGTCATTGCCTTGCAAAGAAATGAGTTTCATATATGTGGCCATTTGATCGCACTATCATTGTTATATGGTGGTCCTGCACCCAATTTTCTTTCTAAGTCAGTTGTTGCTTACTTATTAGATGAGCCTTTAGACACAACAATGATTGAAGATATTCCCGACTCTGACATACAGTCATCTCTTCATAAAGTATAGCATAATTTTATTATTTAAAAATAATTATTATTAATTATTATAATGAATATTTCTATAGTTGCTAGATGCAAGTTCTAGTGAAGAATTACGAGCTCTTTTTAACTCCTCTGAATTTGACTTTCGTTTTGATGCTGGTGTCACCATTTCAGTCTCTGCTGTGAAAATTGAAGAGAAGGAAGAGCTAATACTTGCATTTGTCAACAACTACCTGATATATTCTTGCAAAGGAGAGTTAGATCAGTTCAAAAATGGTCTGAAGAGTTTAGGAATTCTTGAACTGCTTCAGCAATATCCTACTCTAATGAAACCTTTGTTCGTGTATTCTAAGGAACCATGTATGAAAGCAACAACATTCCTTAAGATGTTTACTATTAAGTGGTCACCAGAAGGGAGTAACACAAGGGAATCGGAAGAAGCAGTCATTTATTGTTGGACAAATTATGTACACCAATGTGCAGGTACATGTATGAAGTTGTTGTCTACATGTGATTTATTAATATGTATGTTGTAGGATCTGGTCGCCAAGTTGGTGAAGTAGCTGTAAATTTATCAAGCATATTAATTTTTGTCACAGGTTTGGATTGTATACCTGCTCTAGGGTTTGCTAGTCCTCTGGAAATTGAATTTATAAAAGACAATGATAAAGGGAGGTTGCCATCAGCCTCCACATGTACGCCAGCGCTATACTTACCTCTTTCATTGACAGATGAAGATATTTTTTTTGAAAGAATGGACACAGCAATTATTGGAGCACAAATGTTTGGTGTTCCATAGCAAGTATAATTATTCCAAGTGTTATGTTAAGCACTGAATTCACTTTTCACTATGTTTATATTTAATCAGTATGATTTTCAATAGACTCTACTTTGTCTTTATCATTCTTTGTTATGATATCCCATTTTCTTTGACCAATCATGTTCATTATTGTCAAAAAAAATCATCAATATTTTACACATTGTTTCTTAAAAAATCATAAACATTAATATAATGGTCTAATCCACCACAACTTGAATTAGCTAGTGGTTGAAATTGAGATCTGAGTAATTGTTCCTGAGCAGCACTTAAACTGATAGAAATTCGTGGAACTTCTACCCTCCCCATATCAAAAGGACTTGGTCTACCTTCTTCAGCACCATAGTCAGTGTCAATATCACAATCAAAGTTGCACTCTGACAGTCCTTGTAACCAGAGTTGATTTGGAGTAAACCCATGCTCTGATCGAAGAGGATGACTATTCCAAGAACATTTAAATTCCTTAAGTTGTTTGTTTAATCTGGGAATGAATACATAATGAAGTGCATATAACTGTAACTCATTTGTTGGTGAAAGTAAGTTCATTTCTTCCATTTCATAAAAGAGTGCATAAAAAATGTGGCACACACAGCGAAATGTGTCACGCCATAAGCGCTCTATACGCTGATTGTGTACACTTGGGCCAGCTATATGACTTCCTCTCCCAGTTCCTCGAACAGTCAACATAGCTCTTGCAACATCATAATTCTCACCCCCCTTATCAGACCTAACTCTAGATGGCCAGCCATGTTCAGTGGCTGCTTCCAGAAATAAATTGAGGACTGTATTGGCCCTATTATTATCTGAAGCATGTATATAAATCACTTTCCTAGAGTAGCCATCAATGCAGCCATGGACTACAATTCTCCATCGGATGAGGCAATGCAAACCATCAATATGCCAAAGAGCATTAGAAGATGGTACACGGTATACACGCCGGCAAACAGTATGTGAAGATCTATTCTGGACAGCTGTTTGGCAAACACGAAGTAGACTCTCTCGTACTCTCCTTCGAGGAACGAAAATATTTAAACTCCTTAACTGCCCCCACACCATGACTATACCATTATTTGGTGACTGAAGATAAATCATTTGCACAACAGAATCAAGTTCCAGATCATTTATTGATGCTGAAGCAGCGTGCTGTGTTACTATACCTAATTCCTGTGCTCGACGCCACAAAGTAGTTCTTGAGATCATCAAAGTATCAGCACACTGCTGCCATGTATAGCCCATTTCTCTTAAAAATTCAAGCTGTAAAATTAATCAAAAATAAAAATAAATAAAAAAAGGCTTTCTGTATTTAATTGTTTTAAGTGTTATTAGTATAATTTTACTGAAAGTAGCGGACTTTTTTAGTACTGGTATGTAGTTTATAATATTTCATTGTTGCATTAAACACATGATTTTAGTATAAATTTAATCTATTTGCTGTAACATTAGTTTAGTACAAATGAATTGCTATACCATGCCTAGGGTTGGGGTATATGAACACTTTTCTACGACTAACCAGTTCTATATTTATAAGAACTTTTGGCCTTCCAGATTGTGGAGGTTGGCTACTTAATTGCAAAAATCGGGTCTGCCACAAGATCAAAAGCTGGCTAATAACAGACTGCAACTCAATGCAAGTATTGTAATATGTGATGCTGTCGTTAGTCATTGGCAAGCTTGCCACAAAAGCAACAAAATCATCCATCATCTCCAAACAAATCTCAATCCTGGTTATCATAGTGTCAACAACTTGAGCAGATGAAGAGTTAATTTGCCTGCATCCACTAATAACACTTTCAATTTCAACAAACAAATCCATCACCAACAACAGTAGATATAATTCTAAACGACAATATCATCAATTACACAGACCACACCTTAATCACACACCTCATGTGTCTATTATTAATAATGATGGTTAAGTTACGCGCGTATTTCTGCCAATTTAACGCGCGTTATAATGGTGACCCGCGGGACAATTTTAACTATGAAAGTGCCTCGCGGAATAATGCATCTCTTATACACGGGAGTGAATAAGAAGGAATTTTGAAACATTTGGTTTGCCATAAGTGAGAAGACGGTGAGTCTCCTCTGAGACGTCCATAAGTTGCTCAAAATCCTCCTCGTCCTCAGACGAGTATATTTCAGTTATGCTGGTATGGGAATATCGCTTCCTAAGATGTTGTCCTGCTCGCTCCTTAGATCTGGACTGGGGACTTCTAGAACGGCCAGGCGATTTTCAACCTTCTTCAACTCACATTGAGCTTGGTCCTTCTTTTTCAAGTCTTCAACATCTGTTGTTAGGTCAGAAAGTCTGCTGTCTAAACCTTTGACCTTGTCCAAGGTGTCTTTTAGAGACATATTTGCACGTGCTTCTGTAAGAGAGCTAAGAAAAAGGCCAAGGATGGCAAGGAAGATGGCTGAAGCAGGGGCTTATATAGTGTGGCAAGTGGGCGGATGGGCGGACCAAAAGTTATTACAATTAGTTATTTAACTACAAATTAGCTGTAAGCTAAGAAAACTGCCAAACACAGTTGATATGTGAGACTGAGCCTTCTGAAATATAAGTGTTCTTTCTCTCTCTCTCATTATTAAGATCCAATCACAACACCTAGCTGATTATCAGAATATGTCACCATATTGGAATGGGCTAGGAAGTCAAGAGAAGTTGGTTAGTATCATTTATTAGAGAATACTGGAGAAGTTACCGCCTCTGATGTTAACGGATCCACACCCACTAATGTTGGAATCTCACCTACTCTTGTTAATGGTGCTTATGATCATCTTTCCCCTCCCACTGGTTATGATAAAGTTATTAATGATGAGGATTTCCCTAGTTACTACTTTATCATTCAACTTTATTCATAATTTAAACTTTAAAGGACAAAATAATGTGTAATGTGATTATTAATTAGTTTTCAGTTTGTGAGTGTCGTTAACTTTAATTTAGTGTATTTTTAAGTATCTAAGTAATAATAATGAATCAATATCCACTAAACTCCACTATTGGTAGTGGTTTGTGTGGTAGTTCTTTTCTGTGTCTATCAATCAATGTCTTCTTTTGATCTTCAAGAGTATCCTCCAAGAGAGGAGTAGTAGCGTGTCCAGGATTAATGCCAACATACTCAAGTGATGGATGAATGAAGATAGTTTTATATAAATGCTGTGCTAGTTTTATCCAGTTAGGTGGAGATGAGTTATAATTACATGCATGATAAATATATTCACACTCTATCCTCAGTAGTCTGATGGTTGCATGTGACTGTAACATGTTAGTAACAGCAGGCAGTACCTGTTCATGAAACAATGATGTCAAAATTTGTTTCTTCTCTGCCTCACTATAGGTACTGTATGACGGATCTGGTTCAAAGCTCATTTCAAGTTCTGTGAGATTGTTCCTTTGAGAGATGACATTCATAAAAGACTTTATCTCTCCATTCAGCTGAATGGACACAATCAACTGCTGTAGACTGGTGTTGTGTCTGAGACCAGTTGTTAGGAAGGACAGGAATGAACTAGGAATGGTAATGTCACGAAAAAGAATAAATTTATTACCATCACTAATCTCAAGGTATTTCAGTGTTTGGTTTTGTGTTAGCATGTCTTGTAGACTAGTACCCATACTGCTGGTATATACTCTCTCCTCCTTTATCTCCACACTCAGAGCTTTAAGTGTAGTATTGGTTTGTAGAATAGTAAATAGTTTAATAGCACTCTCAGCTGTGTCTAGTGGTAAAGTAAGTGTATGTAGACTGGGATGAGAGAGAAATAGAAGATGTGGTGGGTATGGATCAACATGTAGTATCAGACAGTGTAATCCTTTGATATGTGGAAGGAGTTTACTACTCATCTTTCCCATGTCTAAAGCAGTCAGTGGCATGTTCACCTCTACTATATTCAGTGATGATGGTAGGAGATCATCAGATATGTTCAGTGAAAGAGATTGTAATGTGTTGTTGTCCTTTAGTAACTGCTCTGTTACTCCTTCTGGTAAAGAAGGAGGAGGGGTATCGACATGTATTGCTAATGATTTTATTGTTTCATTTCTTGTTACTCCTCTCATGAAACTGATAATTGTACTTGTTATTTCACTCAGTGCTTCATACTTAATCTTCATTTCCTGTAGTGTTGAATTCATTTCTATACATTTCTCAAGTTCAGTGCACTTGTCTGTGTAGTATGTATTGTCAACTGTTGGTATGATACACTGGTTCATTATTAAGTGCAGTATCTTCAATTGAGGAAGATTGAGAAACTGTAACAACACAAAACAGGGAACATTTCTAAAAAATAATAATGCAAAGTAGCACTCCTGAATACTGTATAGAGGTGATGGTTGTAATAATTTGTGTATTAATTCATCCCTGGGATCATACAACATTACCTCCAGTCTCTTACACTGGGTCTGTAGTGAGTTACTGGTTAGTCCAGCAGTGAAGATTGATAGTGACTGGTATATATTCATACTGTCATTTCCCCCTGACCCCAGGTGCAAGTGATTCCATGTTATATTGGAATTGTTTATACAATAACTGAGACACAACCAGTCAAACAATGATAATGATGCTCTATCCAGACACAGTGAATGGTTGCTGATGGATTGTGCTAATACTTGACATAATTTTGTGTTCTGTGATTCATACAGGAGTTGAAGAAGAAGAATGGGAACATTGTCAAAATCATCAGATCTGACATGATCAGTTAAACGTTGTGACAAAGGACGAATCAATCTAATCTCAGGATTCTGATAGAAGTAAGAGAAATTACAAGTCTCAAATCCAAACAATGGTTTCCTCTGACACTGTAAGTCAAGTTGTTGTACATTAAAAAACTGTTGATAGCTCTCATGTTCAAGGTGAGTTAGACCTGCCACAAACCTAAGACACATTCGAAAGTGATCATCATCAAAGTGATCGTTAAACACTTCCTCAGTCTTCTTCTCATGCTTAGCTATCCACCATGCAGCTAGAAATTCTTGTATACTCAAGTGAAGGAACTGATACTTCTCCTCATCATATTCTGTGAATGTTGTCATCAATCCAAGATAGTCTTCCTTGAATGCCTCACTCAGTGACTGTAGTTGATGTGAAGAGAACGTCATTCTTGTAACAGCCAGGTTAGTATAAGCTATTCGACACATCTCTTGTAAAGGTTTAGCTAATTGTGATGGTAATGAAGAAAGACTACCTAAATTATGTGGGTTAATGTCATGTCTCTTAACATGTCTTCTAATAGTTTGTAGGATAAAATTCTCATAGAGTTGAGTTAGTGTTGTTGGTAACTGTCCTCCTTCCTTACAATAAACGAAAATGACCATGGAGCAGACTAGTGGTACATAACACAATGATTGGACATCATTTTGTACTTTAAGATCATTAATAAGTTTCACTGCTAGTTGTGAGTCCTTACTGCTTTGAGTAGTTGTGAAATGTGATTTGTATCTTGCATTAAATAGTGATTTTATCATGTTACATCCAGGTAGTAGTATAGTGTTTTCATCAATGAGCTCTTGGGCTAGTTTTGTATCTTTTTGAAGTGTTTGTATAATTACTGTTGATATTTCTTTCTTAGAAAACCCAATAACCTGAACATGCCTACTGAGAGTATCCATTTTCAAAAGTGAAGAGGAGGCATAGCTACGAGAGGTAATAATTACTGAAGATTGGTCTAACTTCTCTTTACAAATGATACTAGTAGCTAATGAAGACTGTCTGAGTTGTTCACTTAATTCATCCCAACCATCAAAGATTATCAGTAATCCTTCTCCATTCCTCTTCTCAAACCATTCAGCTACCATGGGAACTTCATAACGTTGTCGCACAAACAGGTCAGCTAGTGTAGTAGCTGTCGCTATCTTGCTATTCCTTAAAGGACAGTAAAGTACCAAGTCATACTGTTGGTGTACAAGTGGTCCATTAGACCACATATTTAACACTTTACGACAGAGTGTGGTCTTGCCAATAC